TCAACAGCAGGATATCCATAACTATTTAGTTCCTCATGACTCTTCCAGTTCGATTCCTTTGTTGCTGATGTGATGAGCAAGAGGAAATGTTTGCCATCGTATATTTGCATTCTAGAAATGACTTGACTAGCGTGATACACATACAGGTGCAACCAAGTCGTTACTGAATCATACCATTCTTGTTTTTTAGTCTGATTGAGGACTTGCACTGGAGACCTGAGTGAACTGCTGGATTAGTCACATAGTCATTAATTTGAATAGTGACAAAAGGAACAAGAGAATGTGCTTGTCTCAGATTGAATTAAACAAAGCAAAGCAGGATCCTGCCTGCTTTCCACAGAGGAATCACCCATCACTGTTGGATGCTGCCTGCTCTCCCCACCCTTTCCTTTGAGCCCCTGCCACTCACTCCTGTGATTTACAGAACTTTTAATTCCAGAGCTCTCCTCCCACTCTCTCCCTCCCACTCTCTCCCTCCTGCCTGTGGGGTGTATAGAACCAGTTCTTCACACACTGCTGCCATTCAGCATGTCCCCACACTGCACTGCCACTGCCCACCCTTCGTTCCTAGCAGTTTTATTGCTGCTCCATCAACCCTGTCCTTAGCGACTTCTCAGTCACCTGTGCTTGCCCATTGGCTTCTTCCTATTCTTATCTCCGAATAAGTAAACTAATGCAGGCTTCTTCTAAGCTGTGTGCTCCAGGAGATATGGAAGAACAATAGCTCCTCAGATAAGCATTAAAGATTCAAGTGTTCTTGGCGAACCTGATAAAACTTTGCCTAAACAATGCATTTACGGACATGCAACGTGCATAGCAAAGGACAGCAATTAGCACAAAGTAAGGGCTGCCCCAAGCTCTGCCCTGTACCTCACACCCAGCCCTCCTCTGAGGGGAGATTATTTCCGAAGGACAGTGGTACCAGAAGCAAAGAAAATCGCAGTTCTCTTTCATAAACCCTCTTCTGTCTGTGGGTGCTTGGGCATCCTCGTGATGCAGCTGGAGGTGAAATGGGGCCCTCTCTGAGAAGGGGCCCTGCTGCTCTCTTCCAAAACATGTTTTATGGTTTACAGCTGACTGAAAGTTGTTTAACCTCCCCACTACCCTGCACAGCCAACAGAATAGGAGGTGCCTACACTGTTGCATGAGATGATTTTGCAGACATTTCCAGGAAAAGTCTGTTAGAAAGGAGATCTAACTCATGGAAGGAGAGCTGGGTGCTGCATCCCCCTCCAGGAGCCTCCTGGATAGTTTGTATGGCAAATGAATATAAAGAAGCAGTGATGTCTGTGCTGGGCTATGAGTATTGCAAAAACTCAATGTTTGCAGCATCAGCTTGTTTTTTCTGGGGTCTGTCTGACACTAATATGTGTGTAATGATATCAAAGGAGTAAAAACAGCTCGCTCAAAGGCTGCTAAAGTGTGGTGGTGTGACTAAAGTGAGTGAGTGAAGAATTAATGTAGAAACAAACTGATTACACAAGCTGAGTTGAACTGTGAAGGTGCTTTTATTGCTGATGTTGGTGAAAAATGTCAGGTGTAGCATATGTTTGGCTCAGCCTTGAAGAAATAAAGACTGTTTCCAAAAGATATTTTGACTCTATGGCTACATTTCCAGTTCAGAAATAATTCCACAAAACAACTAGATGCTAGGTGTAGAAAGAGCCTTGCTTTAAGCAGAAGTGAAGGATATGGAGTCTGCCACACTAATGATTTGGGAAAAATCAAAATAATATGTATAGCACATTAAAAAAACTGAAGCTTTATGGTAGTCAAAATCAAATCTGGCCATGAGGAATTAGCAGATCTTGTCCAGTTGCTCATACTGAGTGACAATATAGCAAATGAGCCTCAGCGTCAGCTGGTGTAAACCACTACACAGTTAGGAAAACTCAACTCTTTGAAAGGGAAGATAGCAGCAGGACAAGGGGAAATGGTTTTAAGTTGAAGGAGGGAAGATTTAGGTTGGATGTCAGGGGGGAAGCTCTTGATATGAGAGTGGTGAGGTGCTGGAACAGGCTGCCCAGAGAGGCTGTGGATGCCTGGAACCCGGAGGGGCCCTGGGCAGCCCAGTCCAGTATTAAATGTGGAGGTTGGCGGCCCTGCCTGCGGTGAGAGGGTTGGAGATTCATGATCCTTGAGGTCCCTTCCAACCTGGGCCATTATGTCTGTGTAATACGTGATGTGAAAATAAATCCAAAGTATAGCTGTTCAAGTGTATAGGCACACGTACTCCAGGAGGCATCAGTTCTATTAGCTAGAATGTCAAAGGAAAGAACCTTGGGCTGACTGAAAAAATCAACTCGCACATCCGAGGTGCTTGAAAGGTGAAAACAAGTGAATAGGGAAACAGCAGAGAACACAACATTGAGAAAACATTTCTCTGTGCATATGCAAACTGTAGATACAGCAGGTAGTGGGGTGCAAAAAATTGTGATGAGTGTGATGAAAATATAAAGCAGTTCCTGCATGACAAATGTTGAACAAACAGTGCTTTAAAGATGGATTGATGGAATCTTGATGACACAAGTTGCTGCATTGGTGAGTGCGTGGAGCAGAAGAGTAGGGGTTAGCCACTACTCCTAGTGGTGGGGACAAAGCAAGAACCTGTGCTCTGTACAGACATACACTGTGGCACTCACCGCTCCACTGCCACTAGAACTACGCTTCCCCACAGCAGGTGAGCAATGGCTGTTTCTGCACGTGTGCTCAGCCAGGACTCTCCTTCCCACATTAAGCACTCTTGCTCCCTCCCACATGAAGGCAAGCAAAAGAAGATGAAAAGAAATAAAAGTAACCCTCAGCTTTACCACAGTTCTGGTTTGGCTGTACATGAAAGCCACCACAGCAGCACCGAGGTGTGGATTTCTTTCAAGCATTTACATTTACCGCTATCAAACTTTGCTATATTTTATAAAACAGAGCTGGTTGTTCTAGACATTTCTTCTCTATTAATGTTTAAAGATGTTACACACCTGACTGTTTCCTGTACCTCCAGAACAAACTCACATGGGCATTTTGCAGACCCACAGACCCACACAAGCGCTGGCTTCCCATACTTTGAAACCACGCAAATTACTAGAACAAGCTTATTTATTTAAATCACTCCTGATGGAAGCGTCTCTCCTTCCAGACACGCCACACAGTGCAATACTCAGGACAGATCTTCACCTCAACGAACGAACACACAGTTTCCAGCGGTGCTTTCACGTCCCTAGACAAGACCCCATCATGCCTGCAGCCGTAGGCACGGCATTCCACCACCGCTCAGTTGTTTCACACACAGCGCCGTTTCCCGGCAGGGCTTCTGGTCGCAGCGCTGTTAGAAGCGAGCCGAAGGCACCGTGCAGCCCTTCCCCGGGCACCGTGCGCTGGGAGCGCTGAGCAGCCCGCAGTGCAGGGCGAGCGCCGTGCGCTGCCACTCAGCTCTGTGCCCACACCTGGCCGCCGGCCCCGCTCCGCCGCCAGCGCCCCCGGGCACCCCGGCCCCGCCCGCGGGCGGAGAGAGGCGGCCTCGGGGCGGGTTAAAAGCGGCGGCGAAGGAGCGGGGAGGGCTTTGAGAGCTGTGGGACGGCGAGGCTGGGACCGGCCGTCCGCTGGCACCGCAACACGGGACCCCTGCCGTGCCGCTCCAGGTGAGACCCGCGGAGGGCTTGGGACTTGAGGAGTCGTGGGATCGCGCCGAGCCCCGGCCGGGATCTTCTCGTGCGGTGGGGTTTGCCGGGCGCCCCGCAGCCGAACGCACCGTTTGTGGGGTGGGGAGGAGCAGGGGATGTCCTGTCTGTCCTGTGTTCTTTTCTTCCACGACTTTCAGCTTCCGAACCGCGGTGTGAGCCCGCACCTGGAGCTGAGGTTGTTGATCCTGTTGGGATACGCCTCAGATGGTTACTTTCCTTCGGTCCTCGTTAGCCCCATTTTGTTCGTTTTATTTCTATGTTTTAATGGCTATGCCACAGGTGAGAGGAAATGCTTCACAGAAAGTGCAGTTATCTGACCACAGCCGTGACTTTGGATCAGCATAAAAAGCTGCACAGAATGCTGCCATTCTGCAGCGAGAACACAAGAAGCATGAGGAATTCCAGCCGCCTTTTCGAGGCTTTTTTCTTTTTTTTCTTTTCCTTACCCAACGTAACCTTTCCTCATGACAGTAGACGTGACCTCTCCCTCCTGCCTGGAGGCCTGTCTGTACAGGCTGGGCCCGCACCGCGGGTGTGTGCATCCCTCTCTGGTGGTGTAACTGCAGCGGGGTAAAGGAGTTCCTTCTCTCCCTTTTTTTTTTTTTTTTTTTTTTTTTTTTTTCTTTTGCTGTTACCTGAGAATTAGCAAATCTAAAGGCTTTGCCAGCCCGACGAAGCACACTCTGCACCAAGAGGAGCAGGAGTTCTGGTCGGTCCAGGGCCACTGTAGCTTTTCTGAATGGTAGACTGAGCCCTGCCCCTGGGAGATACAGGACCAGCTATGCAGGTTCCTGGCTGTGGATCTGAAGCGTTTGGTGGTAGCTTCCAAATGGCTGCTGAGCAGTGAAAGCCAGGTCCTGAGACCAAGCTCTGCCTTCAGCAAAACTTAAGCTTAATCGTCAAAGGGTGAACAGTGAATTTCCTTCAAGAGCAGGAGGAAGAGAGAATAGAAATGGAACTCCTCTGATGTTTGATTTCTTATTTAACTGGGGTGTGATATCATCTAGAAAATCAACGTAAACTTTTCAGTTGAAGGCTTTGTGCTCTCAGCCCTCTGGCTTGGTTAATCTCCTTTTTGGATGAGGTAGTGCTGAATGTGGAAGGGCAGGCTCTGCAGAATTGTCTTGTGCCTGCTGATTGGTGCTTTGTATGTGCACAGCCCTGACAGAGTTGACTTGAGGTTTCTCAACAATGAAATCAAATGCTGTACTCCTAGAGATGAAGGCTCTGCCAAGCAAAGGATGTGTCTGAGCTGCAGCAGATAGCCTTAGAGACCTGTTGGAGGCATCTGGGAGGAAGTAGAGCTTCTGATGGAGATGGCACAGTAGTCCTTACCTTGGAGGCAAGGCAAGCACCACACATCCTTCTAAGGCTTTGGCATTGGCAAAGAAATCCTATGAAAATAAATTGTTTTGTCAAGGTTATTTTATATAATTATATCATTTTCTATTTATTTGGAAAGTGCACTGAGAGCCTACCACAGAAAGAGAAAGAGGGCTTGGGGGATGCAGGAAGGAAACACTTGAAGGTATAACTTATTTCCTACCCAAAAACTAGTTAGAAAAATATCAAAGTATGCTAGTGTCATCATAAATATATGAATGGATAGAGTCTATTAAGCTGTTTGAATCATCCACTAATACAGACACAAATGTAAAGATAGACTTAACATGACTTAATTTGCCTACGACTTGAGTGAATGCTAGGAAATCCTCTTGCTTATAGAAAGTTTGGAAATGATTCTTTGCTGCTTGGAAACTAACTATTTGGTATTTTATGTCATCTTGCAGGTGAAAGAACACAGAAAAGAAGATGGATTGGGGAACTCTGCAGACTGTTCTGGGAGGTGTAAATAAACACTCCACCAGCATTGGCAAGATATGGCTCACAGTCCTGTTCATCTTCCGTATCATGATCCTGGTTGTGGCTGCGGAGAGAGTCTGGGGAGATGAACAACAAGATTTTGTCTGCAATACACTTCAACCTGGTTGCAAGAATGTTTGCTATGATCACTTTTTCCCCATCTCTCACATCAGACTCTGGGCCCTGCAGCTGATCTTCGTTTCCACCCCTGCACTGCTGGTGGCCATGCATGTGGCTTACAGGAGGCACGAGAAGAAAAGGCAGTTCAGAAAGGGAGACCAGAAATGCGAGTATAAGGACATTGAAGAGATCAGAACCCAGAAGTTTCGTATTGAGGGCACCCTGTGGTGGACGTACACTTGCAGCATCTTCTTCAGATTGGTCTTTGAAGCGGTCTTCATGTATGCATTCTATTTCATGTATGATGGGTTCCGAATGCCTCGCTTAATGAAATGTAGTGCTTGGCCCTGCCCCAACACAGTAGACTGCTTTGTTTCTCGACCTACTGAAAAGACAGTGTTCACTATTTTCATGATTGCTGTGTCCAGCATTTGCATTCTTTTAAATGTGGCTGAATTATGTTATTTACTGACAAAATTTTTTCTCAGAAGGTCTAGAAAAGCTGGAAATCAGAAACACCACCCCAACCATGAGAATAAAGAAGAAACCAAACAAAATGAAATGAATGAGTTAATATCTGATAGCTGTCAGAACACAGTTATAGGATTCACAAGTAGCTAAGGTGGTGTCAGTGCTGGTATTCACTCTGAAAAGGGTGAATGTTCTTTGTCTAATGGCTGCAAATAAAATTTGTTATACTAAACAGCTTCTGTTGGGGAAGATTTAGATGTGTAGTGACAGGTGTCAGCTATGCACCTGTTGAGGAAAAAAAAAAGGCAGCTTAAACATTTGAAAGTTA